CAGAAGGACAACCGTCTCTGCAGCACTCCACCAATCAAGCCTTTATGGTAGAGTGGCCAGACAGAAGCCTCTACTCGGTAAAAGGCACATGACAGCCCGCTTGGAGTTTGCCAGAAGGCACCTAAAGGACTCTCAGACCATGAGAAACAAGATTCTCTGGTCTGATGAAACCAAGATTGAACTCTTTGGCCTGAATGCCAAGCGTCACATCTGGAGGAAACCAGGCACCTCTCATCACCTGGCTAGTACCATCTCTACGGTGAAGCATGGTGGTGGCAGCATCATGCTTTGGGGATGTTTTTCAGCAGCAGGAACTGGGAGACTAGTCAGGATCGAGGGAAAGATGAACGGAGCAAAGTACAGAGAGATCCTTGATGAAAACCTGCTCCAGAGCGCTCAGGACCTCAGACTGGGGCGAAGGTTTACCTTCCAACAGGACAACAACCCAAAGCACACAGCCAAGACAACGAAGGAGTGGCTTCAGGACAAGTCTGTGAATGTTCTTGAGTGGCCTGGCCAGAACCCAGACTTGAACCTGATTGAACAATTCTGGAAAGACCTGAAAATAGCTGTGCAGCGACGCTCCCCATCTAACCTGACAGAGCTTGAGAGGATCTGCAGAGAAGAATGGGAGAAATACCCCAAATACAGGTGTGCCAAGCTTTTAGCTTCATACCCAAGAAGACTTGAGGCTGTAATCGCTGCCAAAGGTGCCTCAACAAAGTACTGAGTAAAGGGTGTGAATACTTATTCACATGCGATATTTCAGTTTTTTTATTTTTAATAAATTTGCAAAAATTTCTAAAAAACCTTTTTCGCTTTTGCATTATGGGGTATTGTGTGTAGATTGATGAGAAAAAAAAGGAATTTAATCCATTTTGGAACAAGGCTGTAACATAACAAAATGTGGGGAAAGTGAAGGGGTGTGAATACTTTCCGGATGCACTGTATATCTCCTCCTTTTCTTTTGGGGGGGGTGCGGTTTGTATTATAATAATAATAAATGAGCACACTGTCATATGATCTGAGCTTCTGCACAAGCCAAACTGAACAGACTATAACGAGGAAACTGGCACAATTCTCTCATGAATTCACATGACCCTGGTGTGTTCAGTCATGATACGCCCTCCGCTATTACCCCACATAAAAATCACTTTGTTCTTTGCGATGATCCACTTCACTGCGTCACATTTGAGTAGTACTTAACCACACAGTAGCTCTTTCATTTCATTTTAGCTCCCACAGACTCAATGAAAACACCCGCTGGTGACAGAAAATAATAGCACAGCAAACCAAGACAGAGCAGCTAATTAAATATTTAAGCATGCAGCAATGAGTCATGGAGTTTTGTATCCCAAATAAGAAACCAATTTCTCTCACAGTGAAATAATTCTCAACTAAAAAGATGCCTGTTAACAAAAGCATGAAAACAGTATCCTACGGGAAAACAGTGTTGAACATCACTTTTCACTTCACCAAGTAAATCCTCATTTAAGATGTAAACTTCCGACTGTGATAAAAAAACCCCAAATGTGAGAAAATAGAGGGACTGTATTTTCGTCTTTATATCCTTCACGTTACTTTTTATAGCATTTACAACTTTGTACATGTCGCCACTTAATTCCTCACACGTGGCAGAGGCTTAAGGGTTGAATGCAAGCAAAGCAGCTCGAGCTGGCACCGTCTGTCAGCAGATGCAACCGGAGACAGGGTTGGCTTGGCAGATGTTATGATCCTGTGTGGATGTGGAGCCTGGGAGGAAAAGGGCGCAGAGCCAGCAGTGGTGCTTAGAAAAGGCATCTGCAGGTGGTAGCTATCTACCCACCATCTGTCTGTGTCATAAAGGGCATTGTCTCTGACCAGTTCCTCAGTGCCTGACTCAGGTTCATTTCATGACATACAATAGAGATACAGTACTTGAATCCAGTTAGAGAGTAAACCACAGATGGTTTAAGATTTCTTAAAATGGTGAAAAGTTAGATAGAAAATTATGAGCTAAAAAGGCCAGTCCAGTTTTGACCAAGTCTAAATTAAATCAAAAATATATATATTTTAATCTGACTTGTGAGTGTGTAAATGTGCCCACTACATAGTGCCCTAAAAAATTCCACAATGGTACGAAAAAAGCACTTAATGCTAACTACTCCAAAATGCTAAGCACCGCATTTTAGATGAGATTTCAGTGATGATGCAAAATGACAATGATTCATAAGTATCAATGTACAGCTCACTATTAAGTAAACTACTGAGTGTCCACTATACAGGGAGTAGTGAATGAGTGGACAAGGGGGTAATTTCAGACACAGCTCATGAGTCTACAACCATGCTAACAGCTCTGTGGGTCTGTTATGGACAGTGGGACTGTCAGCTAAATGCTAAGTTTAGCATGCTTTCGTCCTGACAATGACAACAGTAACTTGTTGATATTTAGCTGGTATAAAAAAGCAGAAAAGAGTGCTACTGGGAAAATACCATGGATTCTGAAATGAAGCTCTTAACTAAGGGGTATGACATCACAACAGCCAATACCATGACCGAACCAAAGACTGAGACACACACCAATGGCGTCATAAAAGACAACAGGTTAAAAGCAGAAGGGGAATGCCTACTCTGAAACATCACTGAGGTTTTTAGAGGAAGTAAGAGTGAAGGCGAAACTGAAGGTGGTAGGATGTTTGTAACCATTTCTTACTACCAGCCTGCAAGTGAATGACCACATTCAGCCAGTTCAAACAAATTGTATGAAATTTAAGCAGAATGTTATGGTTAACCTGAAGGGTAGTTTACCACGAGAAAACTGGAACTAGGGCATTTCTTTTCATTTAAAATGACTAAATCCAAAAATTCCCCAGAGGTCTTACACTGAACCAGACAACATGACTCCTTTCAATAAATTTTCAGAGAAATGTTGACTTCCTCGGGGCACACAAAGCATACGCTGTGCACATGGGTAACTATAATCGGTTTTACCTGCGTGCATGTTTTTGTGTGTGTGTGTGTGTGTGCGTGTGTGTGTGTGTGCGTGTGTGTGTGTGTGTGTGTGTGTGTGTGTGTCTTTTAGGGAGTGAACAGAGATAAGATATGCAAAACATGTAAGCATCAGCATATGCCAGATATATGCCAAGAATTATAGGGGATTAGAGAAAATCTTCAACCTTTAAATTTGTGATCAAATCTGAAAAACAAATGTACGCACGTTTATAAAAAAAAAAACAGAAGTAGCCCCAGAAATATGCACGTAAACCTTCATTGTTAAAAAAAAAAAAAAAAAAAAAAAAACATTTTCCATGGGAAATTATGAAAATGCTTTATTTTAATTCTCTAATTTAGAATTAATAAGCAGTATATAGAAACATAATAACGGTTTATAACACTATGCTTTAGTTGGAAGCACATACTGGAACATTTTTGTGTGTTGACACCTACTAAATTCTCCTGTGAAACATCTATAACATAAAAATGAATCATTGACTATATAACATTTATAATATATATGTATTCATAATTTATATAAGTATTACATTTAAACATTGTCATTCTATTTAATAATTTAGTTTATATATTCATAAATACATCTACTGATTCTAAGCTAAAAGAATAGACTAACAAGCTCAGCATGTCTTCATACACCAGTTATGGATTTATGTGCTTACAGCTGCATTATAGTAAGTTAAATGCTCCATTACAGTCCATGCTCTGCTAATCAATTATGTCACATTTCTTCAGGCAGTTCAGTTTGTTGGTCACGTAGGGAGATACTGCAGATTGCATACCAGCAGTAGAAGTAATACACTACGTACTGTGCATCTGGTTCAATTAAAAGTCCATTAAAGGTTATTGATTTAATTCAGCCCTGTGGATTTTGAGAAGACAACAGCTTGAGTGTGAAACTTTTCAGAACTCATCTTCAGCTCAGTCGGCTGTTTTTGAAAACTGCCTGCAATAGTTGTTGATTTCATTAGCCATGTTCTGGGTTGGGCTAGATGGAGGTTTGCCACAAAATGTCAAATATCACTAAGTTTCATAATGTGTAAGCAGCTGCAGCAGTTTTTGTTAATGTTGAAATTAACAAATTAAACTTTTTGCGACCCCTGTCTTTTAACTGATGTAAGAGTGGAAACTGGGGATGATCATCTGATTTTGTATAACTGGACTCGATGACTTGCTTGATTTATACCACAGTAAATTAGGACTTACTTGAGACTTGGAGGTTAAGACTTGAGACTTGCTTGTGACTCACTTGTGTGACTTACTCCCACCTCTGGTATAGAGTCTTCCTGTACAGGATTCACTGGGCGGACCTTTATGGGAGGCAGAAGGTTGAGATTTAGTAAAAAAAATAATAATTCTTGGAACTTTCTTGTCAATAACAGTTAAGTTGGCTGTGACGTTTGTGCAACACAGACATGTTCAGATATGTTTCAGATATTTTATTAAATGCTTACATTGCAAACATTGTCTGTCTGTGAAATTTGCAATGCAAACATGACTGTTTGCAAATTTGCATGTTTTATTTCTTAAAAGGAAGCTTCATAAAGTGAATGATTATTCTTGTTGTGATGACTTTTCACAAGTGCAATGCTTGGCTTTTGTGGAATGTGCTTTTAAACTGGTTTGGTTGAATGACCTCCAATGCTGCAGCTGTTAACCTGTTTTTACAAGATCACGACCATTTAAGTACTGGGGTGCAAAAAGTTAGTGGCCACAGGCCAGAAAACCATCAAGTAACTGTCTCAAATAAGCTTAAATATTTTTGTAAGATTGTTATAATAAATCATAAGTAATAAATCTACCACAGTCTAACATCCTGGACTTCACAGAGGTTTAAAAGAGTGCAGTGATGCAGAGAACCAGGAGAAATCTGTCTTATCAAATTCCAGCAGTGGTCTCCACAAGACTCGTCCTGCTTTGGCACAGCTGCAGGCCCTCTGGCTGAGACATCCAGCATCAGCAGTTCAAAAACATGAGAAAGGTTATAACAAAAATGCAGATGAGATAACTCCAGTATAAATGCTGCCTGAATCTCAGTGCTTTAATCTGCTAATTTTTAAGCATAGGTAGTTGTAGATAAAGCGAATTGTACAAGGTTCTTTTCTTATCTCAAACTTTACTCAAACAGTTGATGTTTACAAAGAGTATACAGATTTAATGCTGCCATGGACAGAGGCCCTCTCTACACAAGAGACTATTTCAAAGCAGGTACAGGGGACTGATCATGAAAGAAAACTTGCTCAAGTCTGAAATGATCCTCTTACAACGGCTTTTGTTTATTTGGGATCAAACTATAACCTGCTTACAACATTCATCACTAGAACTAGCTTTTTATCAGAAACACACACACAAAAATCTAAACTCTGCAGAGTCCATGTGTCTAGAAAATGCTAAAAAAAATAAATGTCCTGTGGCAGGAGGCTACAACAAGTGCTTTTGCTTAAAGAGGGACTTGAGCCAGATCATTCACACCTTAAACTCCAATAAATGAAAAGCAAGCCTAAAAATTTTAACAGGATGCCTGCAAACCTATCAATATAATAAATATAAATACATCTGAGCTTTTCTACAGATTGTGAAAAGGACATGACAAAAATAGCTTTGTTCTCAAATGTAATGCACTCACATAAATAAAGTGTAATAACATTAATTACAATAGTTATAATAAACCTTAAGCTTTAGAAAAACCAAAGTACACTTGGCCCTTTCAAATGTAAGGCTCGGGCCACTAAAACACATCTCGCTTTCTTCTATTTTCACAGTAGACGCACATCGTCACTCCTATGGGAAGAAATGCTTGTGAACCATGTAATGCTATGCATTAAGTGACCAGTGTAATTTTAACGTGTCAAAGGTGACCATGACACATCATTTCCTTTCTTTGGGGTTATAACCTAACAGTTTTTGCCACATTGATTAGTCAATTTTTATTGTAATCAACAGCTGATTGGCTCAGAGTGTACAGTTTTGCCTTTTTTTAACTTCATTGGGAAAACAATGACTCAAAATCACACTTCCTCTTAAACTTCATTTCTGAAGGTTAAGCACTGTAAAATATTATGATAAATTATAATGAAAATAACGTGTCTGCAAGTCAAGAGAAAAAGGTTGAAGAAAAATCCCTACCAGAAAAGCTGTCCATTGTATCGTAGCAAGTTGTGTTTACTGCTAAATGTGGTGGTAAAGAAAAAGAAAACATCTTGCCCCAGTTAGATAGTCCGACCTTTTCCATATTTAATAATTCATCGATGGCTTCTTCCTGAGCAAAAGAAAAAAACAAAACAAAATGGAAGAAGAAAACAGTCTACAGAGTGTGATGGCAAACAGAGATCTAAGAATATTTATTCAATGCACACAAGTCATTTAAAGTCCCAGCCGTAGTTTATAAATATGTAGCCCAACAGGCTGTGGAAGAAGAGGAGGAGGAAGATGGGGTCGTTCCTATCAGCAGTAGCCAGAAACAGAGAAGACCTGGAGCTCTCTCTGGTGAGTTGATGAAGTGGAGAAGGAGTATTGGAAAGCAGAAGGCGAAAGAAATGGACGTTACTCCATGATGGCACGGTAAATGACGGGCTCGATGTAGTCCTCTCTGTATCGAGAGTTGATGACCCGTTGCCTTTTGGAGTTCTGTTTGACGTCGTTCTGTGAGAACAGCTCAAAACGCATGTCTGATGCCACCGACTGAAAACCAAACAGCATCAGGTTTAGGAATTAGTGCTTGCTGGTGCTACAGATCTGAAGTGACACCTCATAAACACTTTCTTAGCAGAAAATGGGGATTTTAAGTTACCATTCGTGACTTGACTCGTTTGGGCAGATCCTCATCTAGAGCGTAGATGTCTTCTCGCTTGACAGTGATTTGTGATCCATCCTCAAACTCCACCTGAATGTGTAGACACACATACATCTGAGTTAAACCATTAATATACAAATAATGTGCATGAAAATTACATTGCTTTAAATAGTTATTTTATTACAGAGCACTTTAAAAACTTTATTCACTTTCTGCAATTAAATAAATAAAAAGATATCAAATATTGACAAGCCAACACTTATTTTTAAATGTTTCCCAACATATTTACATTTAACCACATGGGTCACCCACAGTTTGAGGTTGAGGAAAATAACCCAACATCTTCTGATGTGGCTGGACAAGCCTTTTAGATACAGTGTGTGCATGGCAAGTGAGACATAAAAGAGACAGATAAAAGGGATGGTTTACCAGGTACATGGGGATGGAGTGTGATGCTACAAATTTGGCTCCATATATCAACCCATCTGTCCACCGCACTTGAACAGCATCACCTTCGGTGGGTGGACCGAGACGGACGCAGTCACGGTTCTGCAAACACAAAGCAAGTGGTGAGCTCAGGCTGTGTATTAGATTGGGAAACTGAACAGGAATCTTTAGTTGTTTTTGTTTTACATCCATCACTTTAGTTTATCTGTGCGTCACGGCACACTGCAACAGTGGACAACTGAAAATTTTAATGACGTTTGGAAGCAACTTTATTAACCTCGATGTCCTCTGGGAAGAGGTTGTCGCTGTAGGACCCGTCATCGAACACCACCTCATAGAAGGTGGCTGTGGTCAGTTCCACCACCTCACTTTGGTAGTAGCGGCCATTTTTGTATTTACAGATCACCTTCTGCCCCACTGCCAACTCCCGCATGGACGCCTTGTTGCGCTGAGGAACAGAAATTGAGTGTTACTACTGAATGCTTATCACTCCACATTGCTTTACAACAGTGAAGATAAGGCTACTTGGTCTACTGTAACAGCTAAAACAATGTTCAGTCAGTAACATGTACCCAAGAAATAATCTCTCTCCTTCGTGGAACAAAATACACTCGAGTGTTACAGCTGAGGAGCTGCAGAGACAGGTTCAGACTTGTCGTCACAAAGCTCAAAACCAAAACAGCAGGACGCTTATCTGCATTCAGTGAACATGAATTTTGTTGCTGCATGTCTCTTGACAGGAGTAAACAGATGTCTGTCTCCCCCAATTAGTGTATCACAACAGCATGAACATGCACTAAAGGAAAACTCCCTGCAGCAGTTTGAGAGCTATTACTGTGCTAAGAGTCTAAAATAATACAAAGAGATCTTGGCACTGAGGTAAGTACATATATCCATCTTATGAACTGGAAAGAGATTCATATTTAACTTAAAATTATTCTAATGTCTGAAACAAAAACAAAAAAGCATCCAATTGCAATCAAAAGGGAGGTGCTCTCAAAAGAAAGTGTTTTTTTGGCAGACAGAAACACTCCCAAAAATTTGCAGTGGCTGTTTCCCACAACATGCACATGCAACGTGCTGGATTTTCAGATAAACAACCTAATCTGAGCTAAGCAGTGAGATCAGAAACAGAGCAACAATTGAGTCTGTACTTAAAATGTAAACAAACCAAATATTAAACAAATCTTCACAAAATAATTCTTTATAAAAATTGTTCATTGCACTCAATTTATTATTACTGGCCTAACTGTGTTTCCCTTATGTTACCTCGGGTATGACAGGCGTTCTGTGTCTGTGGCAGGTGACGAAGACTACGAACGGCCAGTCGTCTGGATGCATGAGGATGCCAGCTGCCTGAGCGCAGGTGGGGTGAAACGCCGTGGAGCAGCGTCCGTGGGAGCACTGTACACAACAGCCCGTCACTTCCCTCTTCATCCGCTTCCTGCAGTACACACACTTCTACCAGAGTGACAAAGACACAGGCGTGGAAGGGGAATGGAGGTCAAGAGATAAAGTTAGCAGGTTGAAGTAAAGGAAGCACAGAGGAAGGAAAGGAGGAGAAAGGAAACATGCCAAGAGAATGAGAATGAAAATAAAGTTATCAAAGGCAGTAAAAGACCTAGACATGAACTGGAACACAGACATGTTAGAGGGAAATTACCCAACTTCCTTTTGACTGGGTTCTGTTATATGTACTTGTTTAAAAGTAGACACACTGAGAAAGGATCCTCTGAGATCAAGAGTATAACAATGGAAACAAGGCCACCTATTGTGATCCAAGTACCGAATTATTTCCAGTTGACTATTTGTATGTGAGTCATTACACAAGAGACCATGTACATGTACTGTCAGCCCTTCACACTGTTTATTGCCAATAAGCGCCAAACCAGTGTCACTACGGAGAAATGTGTATCCTGAGTGAGAGTCTGTGCATGGGTCATGAGTGTTTGGCAGATGCTTAGGGAAATAGAACTGTTTCAAAATGCCATGAGAAAAACCACAATGACGCCATGAGAAAAGTGAGGTATACAAACCAACAACGATTAGAAAAGACTGCTTGTAACCACATACCAGCAATGCCATATTTACATAATAAATATTCTTTTAATAAAAGAAACAGAGTGGGGCAACTATAGTTTGGCTCATAATCAACAGGAATTACCTTCATACTTAAGGCTGAAAAACAGGTGTTTAAATTTCTGCGGTCATTTCAGACATCCACAAACTGTAGCTGTAACAACTCTTACCAGTCTGAACCGTGGCAGTGGTATGGCAGAGAGGTCGATGGGGCTTCGCTCAGTGATGTTGACAAAGCGGGCTTCCAGCACGGTGATGGCACAGAGTACATGAACCCACCTGTGTGAAAGGCAAACATGAAGCAGATTCAGGGCAAACTGTTCAATGTCCAGAGAGCAATGTTTCTACAAGTGTTGGAGCACGTATTCAGCAACATGGTTACAGTGTTAAAACAACATTATGTGCAGCCCCTTCTAATGTTGGGACAACACGTCACTGCGTGCATATAAAGCATAAGAATCCATTACTTCAACGACCACGACTGAATTTTATTAGGGCTGGAACATTTACAAACTGACTAATACTTACAGATAAAAAAATATCAATATCAATTTATTTTAGTTTTAATATAATCAGTGAAGTGACAAAACTTCTCAAGCTTTCCCAGACACAATAAAGAGCCCCTTAAATCAACAGTGATAACTGGAGTGTGAGAGATCAAACTGTATCTCTGATATCTGAGAAAACTCCATCCAGACTGAGGTGTGGTTGAAAGCTCCAGAAAAAGCCAGTAAGTCGTCATTTAAAGTCATGTGATGGGGGGAAAAAAACAAAACTTAAAAATGTATTTTTTCAATACATTTCATGTTGTAACTGATCCACAACTTTGATAATTGGTCCCATCCCTAGTACAATTACATAAACAATATTAAAATAAGAGTAATAAGCAAATAAAACAAATGAGAGTGTCACTAGCAAAAGGACAGTCAATAAAAATTAAGTAAAAACCAAAGAAAAAAAAGAGGACACTGGTTCTGCTGACCTGATTTCCTCAGGCAGCTTGTTCCATAGCTTCAGGGCTCTGACTGAGACTCTGTCACCTCTAGTTTTCAGCCACGCCTCAGGAACAGATACAAGACCTCTGCCCGAGGATCTCAGGCTATAATGTATTATTCTCAGCAATAATAGGAAGTCACAACAAAGTACTACACCCACTGTTAGGCCACTCAAGATGTGTGGCTGACAAAAATAAAACATTATGTCCGTTTCATTATGTCACTAGTTTCAAAACCACTCAAAAGTAAAATCAAGGAAATTTTGTCACTGTCCAAATATTTATGGACCTGATTTGAGTGTAACCACAAGCTGAAGTTGTGTAAGAACTGCATACATACATCTGCTGCTTAGGTAGGTAGGTAGGTAGGTAGGTAGGGGTGTGTGTGTGTGTGTGTGTGTGTGTGTGTGTGTGTGTGTGTGTGTGTGTGTGTGTGTATGTTTGCATTTGAAAAGTGCATTTAGCTTGAGGGGCTGGATCCACCAGATGGATGTGAGCAGTAACAGACTGAAGAAACAGACAGACTTAATGCGGTCAAAGGAGAGTGAATGATAGCCACGGGTAGCAATCTGCTGTGCACCAAGCAGACAGATACTATGCACAGGCTGTTTTGTAAACATCATTACTCCATGTCAAATTCTTTCTCTTGCCATTACTTTCATAAGTTTGTGTGTGACCATTAAGACGATCTAATTAAAAGGAACAGAATCATATCTTCTTAGAAAACACAAATGTGGCACCGGGTAACATCTCCCAAGCTGGAAAGAGGTCCTCATACTTTTTTCTCCTCTATGATGGCAGCACTATTGTCTGCTGTATTACTCACTTGTCATTGTTGGCTCTCTGCAGAGCGCCACCTCTCAGGGAACACAGACAGCAGTCCTACAGGAAGAAATACACAATGTCTGTTATGTTGTAAAACAGTCCCTGTGGCAGCTGACGTCTTTATCCTACAACATTTAAATCTGATGTCAGAACTCAGTCTCCTCTGTCGGATCACATGGATGGATATCAGCTAACTAAATCTTTGCTTTCTGTAACCGACTATACAACCGGTGTGGCAGCTTCCATGAATGCCTCACTGCATTTTCTTAGAACCCTCTAACATGCAACACTGTGAGTGAGTGAACCACAGTGACACTTGTAAAGACACAGCTACCAACAGGTTCAGTAAGAGGAACACTAGCAAGTACACATCACTTTTTCATTTGTCGCTGACTGACAACAGCATTTAAACCATCACAAACAGCATATAACAAGAAATCCTTAAAAGACAGTTGATTGACTCGGTATATCGGGTGATGGGAATTGATCGACATTTGAACAAATCATCCAATCTTATCAATTCCTGTTATCGATGCTGGCATGTTTTTTATAGCGTGACCCCCATGGACTTTTAAATGTTGACTTGCTGGGCATATTAGGCAATATGGATACACATCTCTCAGTAAATAATAACTATCAAGTATTCAGCCAAGCCACTGTATAAAGAGTATTTTGTATTTTAAAATGTATAAAAGGAAATCTGGGGGAGCCAGTTTGAATGAACCTGATGCAGCTGATAAAATTAATAATAAAGCGTCAGCCACAGCCTATAGACTTATGTTTATACTGTATAGCCAGAGCTCTGCCCTGCCTTTGTCTTGGCTAGTGACTAAAGGTGACCGGGCCTTTGCTGTTGAAACGGTCTACTTATCAAGATCAGACAGGCTACATTATTTTTGTCTTTTAAAACTTATCTTAAAATATTCTTTTATCGGAATGCTTTTATGTTATGTTATGTTTGATATGTTGTTGTGTTTTATTTTCCCACAGTACTAACAATTTATACTATTGCATAACTTACTTCTGTTTAATGATGTGTTTGTTTTAATTTCAGTTTTTATTCCCCTTTTTCTTTCTGTAAAGCACTTTGTAACTTTGCTATATTGAGACATGCTGAGCATGAGTGTAGCTACATTGATAACACAAATTGCTGGAGCTCCTTTGACAAAATCTATGGTTTTAGATGTTCAAATAAATCTATAAAACAGATATATTATTTATTGTATGTACAGAATAGATTCATGTTGTTCTTAACTAATTCTAAAGTTGAAAAGCTAGACAACTGAAAACAGGAACAGTATGAAAACAAAGTCCCTTGAGGTGTCACAATGAACCACACAGTGGAGCATTGCCCACTGGTGGCCAGGTGTTTGTGTCAATATTAGGCCACATTCCCAGAATGTCTCATCTATTGTTCTGAGCAGAAAAGGAATGCTGAAAGCAAAGGAAATATAAAGATAAATTTTACAAACAAAGTTGGGAAAAACAAATTTCCCCCAAACAATAACACACAAAGGAAGAGAACACTCTCACTGCCTCACAACAAAGGAAGTGTTGCCATACAGAGCCATGTTTATCTAAGTGTGATAAAAGAAGGGCTGCTGTGGCTGCCAACAAGCTACCCTTGTGGTGCCAGTGAAGTGCATGATAGTTTAGATTGTGCTTTTAAGTAAAATGGGGATCAGCCTCATAATAGTGTGCACATCAAAGTCCATTTTTGTTTGACACTTAAAAATCAAAAGAGCGGCAGATAAACAAGTCATCATGATACTCAGAGGGGCACCATGGTCTTAGCTGCAGCAGCACAAGTTCCCTGCGTGGGATCATTAAAGTTTATCTTATACTGGTCACAGTGACTGTCAACTATTGGCATCGGCCTGTTGCCTGAGGAAGTGAACTGTGAACACAGATGTTCCTTCAATATTTAAACCTTAATGTTACACCATGTGCCACCATGTGGTTTCCTGTTAAACTATGTTTAAGTCAGAAAAACGTAAAGCTGCAGACATTAAGCATGTAAGGCAAGTGCATTCACTTTCAACATCAACTGAAAATAAATACAGCGGGGAAAGAAAGTATTGAACGTGTCAACATTTTCCTCAGTAAATATATTTCTGATGGGGCTGTTGACCTGAAATTGTCACCAGATGTCGGTAACAACCCAAGTAATCCACACATACAAAGAAATCTAAACATATATGTCCATAAATTAAGTTATGTGTAATAAAGTGGAATGACACAGGTATTGAACACATGAAGAAAAGGAGGTGCAAAAAGGCATGGAAAGCCAAGAAACCAGCTGAAATCTGTCAGTTTTTAGAAAGCAATCCTGCCCCCTATCAGTGCAAATTAATATCAGATGGTTTAAAAGTAAAAAGTAAAAGCAAAGAGCTTTCTCAAGACCTTTGCAACCTTATTGTTGCAAAACATACCGGTGGCATTGGTTACAGACATATTTCTAAACTTCTGAATGTTCCAGTGAGCACCGTGGGGCCGTTATCCGGAAGTGGAAAGAACATAATTTCACCATAAACCGGCCACGACCAGGTGCTCCTCGCAAGATTTCTGACAGAGGAGTCAAAAGAATAATCAGAAGAGTTGTCCAAGAGCCAAGGACCACTCGCAGAGAGCTTCAGAAAGACCTGGAAATAGCAGGTACAGTTGTTTCAAAGAAAACAGTAAGTAATGCACTCAACCGCCATGGCCTCTATGCACGCTCACCGCACAAGAAGAAAAAGCATGTTGAAGCCCATTTGAAGTTTGCTGCACAACATTTGGACAAGCCTATGGCATACTGGGAGAATATAGTCTGGTCAGATGAGACCAAAATTGAACTCTTTGGATGTCAAAGCACACACCAGTGAAGTTTGGAGGTGTGAACATCATGGTGTGGGGCTGTTATTCATCATATGGTACTGGCAGACTTCACATAATTGAGGGAAGGATGAATGGAGAAATGTACCGAGACATTCTTGATAAGAATCTGCTGCCATCTACCAGGATGCTGAAGATGAAACGAGGGTGGACATTTCAGCAAGCCAAGGAAACTCTCAACTGGTTTCAGAGAAAGAAAATAAAGCTGCTAGACTGGCCCAGTCAATCACCCGACTTGAATCCAATTGAAAATCTATGGAAAGAACTGAAGATCAGAGTTCATAGAAGAGGCCCTGGGAACCTTCAAGATTTGAAGACAGTTTGTGTGGAAGAATGGGCCAAAATCACACCTGAGCAATGCATGCGACTAGTTTCTCCATACAGGAGGCGTCTTGAAGCTGTCATTACCAACAAAGGCTTTTCTACTGAGTATTAGACAAATTTCAGTAAGCATGTTCAATACCTTTCCCTGTGTCACTCCACTTTATTACACATAACTTAATTTATGGACATATATGTTTAGATTTCTTTGTATGTGTGGATTACTTGGGTTGTTACCGACATCTGGTGATAATTTCATGTCAATAGCCCCATTAGAAATATATTTACTTAGAAAAATGTTCTGTTATTTCCCCCGTTGTAAATGAATAAATACAACAGGGGTGCATTAAATCACATCTCTCTGGGCTTTTCCAACCAATTTCTGATGCTTACACTTAATCAAAATCTGTCAGGCTGAACTTCCTGACAGTGACACTGGACTTCAGTCTCCAGATATTAGGTGATCTAGTACTGCAATACAACAACTCTGCTGCTGTATTTGTGGGTTATTCCGTTATCAATATGATGAGCACTGTAAATAATGACTGACTATCTGCTATAGGTGTCCTAGCCCAAATAACTGACCTCAGTGATGGCATCAGCCTCACAGCGGGCACAAAGCCAGTCGTCGAGTTCAGCTCCCTCTCCAGACACACCATAGCAACCTGAACAGAAACAGAAAAGAACATGTCACACATTCAGTTTCCTTGATTTCTTGATTTCCTCGGTTTGCCGTGTGGTTTTTGCCTTTGTTTTTTGACAACATATAAAAAACACACACTGGCATAGTAAGGAGGTGATCTATTATAATACCTGTTAAAATTAAAATAGTAGTAAAATTGAAATGGATTCATGCACCTGACTAAAACTAAAGTGAAAGTGAAAATGGAAAAAAAATATATAACATTATGCAATAACCTTGAAAAAACAATCATGTTGTCACATATTTTGCACCCTGTGTTTTTATTCCCAGTACTTTTATGAGTATTTTATGAGAACAGGACTTTTATCTACGAACATTTCGATCACAGATAAGTAATCTGAGATCAAAACATTGAGTCATATCCATGTAAAATAAAGGGGAACTTGGAATGAGACAACGTGTGCTGGGGTGGAGCAGTGGCCATGGGTGTTTGTGAACCTGTTGGAAAAAGTCTCACATTTAAAAGAATGGAACACAACTGAGTGGACTATAAAACAAATAGGCCATGAAAAAACTACATGAAAATAAAACGTTTTTGGAAAGGACATTGAAGACAATTAAAATAAAAAAAATATTGCAAATAAAACTCAACTATGAGCACTTCAAACAATTCATTTCAGATAGGCTGTGTGTGCAAGAGCTCTTAGCAGTGCTGGCTGAATCATCTAAGGCTCCGCAGGTGTGTTTGTGTACTCATCCATAATGCATTTATGGCCTTTGGTGATGGCCGTTTTTGTGAGTGGTGGTTTCTGAAGAATAACAAAAGATCTGAATGTACTGTATGTAAGATATACTTCATTTTACAATCCCTCAAGTGCTCCAGCCCCTGCATACTTTATTAGATACCTGACAGTTACATAAAAAAGGGGCTTACTTGTGTGTACACGGACGCAGCACTGAGCACAGCTGACTAGCCGGCTAGTCCCGTCATCTGCTACATGAGGGTTAGACAGCTGTCCCTCCCCGCTATCACTCGTCTTGCTGGTTTGGGTGTTGAAACACATTTCTGGGATGAGTGGTTTGGACCACTGACGGCCCCCTGGACGGTTCACCAATGTCACATTGGAACTGCCAATACTGGACTCAGACTTGAGGGGGAAAGAAAAAGTACACAGGCTTGTTAACACACCATTTCATCCATCTATAATATGAATGTTTTCTCTTGCTGACACATGTCAAAGGCTGACTGCCATAAATGCCTGTATTGATAAACTACAAATTACCATTGAATATTGATCTGAAAGCGTGGTAATAAGACAGTTCAACAACACAACCAGCTTCATGAAAGCATAAAATGCTTATAGTTCTCACTTGATGGTAAGTGTGGAAGATCAGGCAGATGGAGCAGTAGGGGGCCTGCTTGCCCATGCTCTTGTTGTATTCTCTCTCTGCCAGAGGGTTATATGGCCGACACTGCCACAGCTGGGTTAGCGGCTTTGCCCACTCCTCTTTCTCCTCTTGTTCGACCTCCACGTCTACATACACATCTACATACGAGATTAGAGGCAAAGTTGAAAGGAAAATATTGATATCAACACATTGGAAACAACAGAATGAGGTCAGCACCTGACATCATGAAATTCACAGCGCTTAGTAAAGTGGCACTCAAAACAGTACTATTACATTAAGCAAATTGCCTATAGATGAGAAATAAACTAATAAAGTGGAACAATCTTGTATTTACCATCGTCACTGTGCACCTCTCTGATTAGAGGGTGGTGGCGAGGCAGCTTACGGAGCTGTTCCTGCTGCTGCTGCTGCTGCTGCTGCTGCTGCTTCTTCACCACTGACTTGCAGTATGACTGCTCTTCTGACACCTGCTGGAGCAACCAGTGTATCGCAAAGCAAAAATTCAACACAAGAATTATACCTGTATCTGTAGAATGCACTTTAAGCTGCCATGAATTTTCCTGTTCTGAGGCATATTGGGAGCTCTGTACTGGCATTAATACATAAACACTAGGTCCAATCATCCCTTTGAGAATTTAATTACAGCCAGTAGCTACTTACATGATGATTCTGAGCGATCACCTTCATCTCATTGTGATTTGGTTTGTTGACAGGAATGGTGTCTTTCAGGATGACAATGCCACTATCCACAAGAGGGCTTTGGTTACTCTGTAGTGTGAACAGCATGAATAACATTGAAAATTCATGGTTTATTTTAGAATAATACCTGATCAACTATAATTTGCCACCAGTGGAGAGATCATCAAAAATTGGTATCAAAATTAGTAATGATGATGAGCTCAAATAGATTAGTATCTTCATGCAACTCATGCAAGGAAAATACACCAGTACAGAGCTACCAAAAAATATACCTACATACACATGTGTAATATAAAGCAAAGAGACTGTTAACAGATATTTTAGCTCGACTGAAATGACAATACATGTTTTATGCACCATAATCTGTGATAAAACATGCATGTGCCACTGTGCACAGAAACAACAAAGAGTGACGTTTGTAACCGACTGTGGCATCTTCATCTGTAGCATGTTTGATGCGAGTCTGTTAGAAAATTCAGTTACAAAGAATAAAGGCACTGACCTTCCGCTTGTTGTTCTTAGGAGCTTCTATCTCCATTTGGCTCAACTCTTTAGGTTGTGTTTGAGTCTGTAGCGAAGCAGACTTGCTGGTTTGCTCAACTTCAGGCTTCTCCACTTCAGCCTGAGCCGCAACGGATGTTGACATTTTGGGTTTGTCCTCCTCTTGGTCCTGCTCCACAGGACTCTGTGCTTCTGATTCATTCTGTGCTACTTTGGTAAGAATGACTTCAGATTCTGGCTCTGGCTCTGCTCTTTCACAGCTTGGGGCCTGAGATGAAGTCTGAACCTGTGTGTGAGACTGTGTATAGGTTTTGTGCTGGAGATGACGGGGTTGATGCTCTCTGGCGTAGCTGTGCACCTGGAGCTGTGTGTGAGGTTGTCTCTGCCTTTCTAGAGTGTAGCTGTGCACCTGAAGAGTGTCTTTTGGACTCAGAGTCCTGTGGAAGAGCAGGCTGGCTACTCCCATTTTGCGGGCAGGCTGAGCTGATGCTTCTGTCCACATAGGTGCCACAGAAACTGATAGATGTCCATTTCTGCCCTGGGACTGAGACGAGATCGCAGGTGCACGAGTCTTGGTATAATGAGGGGGGCGGCCTCCATCACTGTTACTTTGGGTCAAGCCTCTGTGAAATGGATCCATTAAAGTGAGCTTGGTCGGTGTGACAACCAATTTTGGTGGGCCTGTGAAAAAGAAAAAAAAAAAGAAGTCTGTTTAGGAATTGAGGGTAATAAAGCTGTGTCTGAAACTTGTTATGTAATTTGAAGGCACTATGTAGTGGATACATTTATACATTAGAGTTCAGACACTGAAATAAAATGGTGAGCAGTAAATGTAATGTATAGTATAGTAAATAGGGAGTCAATATCAATAATACCATATAGGAAACCTGTAAGGTGATGCACAGTTAATGATACCTTTATTTCTCTTGCCATCTTGTGACATAGTACGTGGAGGTATAAGGCTTAGCCTGGGACGCTTCCCATACTGCTCCTCATCTTCCTCATCTTCATCCTTGGGAACAACCTCCTCAGGCACCTCCAGACACACCCTGTGTCTCTTGGTCTCTATCCTCTGTGTCGTGCTGAGGGTTAACCAAATCAAGACACAGGGGAGGGGAATGGAAACAGTTGAGAACAGAAGATCTTAGTCACATCCTTCTCATTTTCATTACCAGGAAACTGCAGTCACTCACAAATATATCAGTAGGTTACATACTTAAATGTAACGGCATGTTTCATTAATGGAAAATGCTTCTGTGTATATCAACTATGAACTCACAAAAAACATCACACTAACTAGGTACCCTACACCATGTAAACATTTTAGGGATTGGAAATGTATTTATTGATTTTTTTCTCATTAGTCTGCCTTATACTTTTGGCTGGTTTGCTGTGTTGTTTTTGCCTTTGTTTTTTGACAACAGATAAAAATCGCACACTGGCATAGTAAGGAGCTGATCTATTCTAATATCTGTTAAAATTAAAATAGTAGTAAAATTGAAATGGATTCATGCACCTGACTAAAACTAAAGTGAAATTGAAAATGGAAAAAAAATATTTAAAATTATGCAATAACCTTGAAAAAACATTTATGATGTTATCACAAAGACTATAAGTAATTCAGCTGTGTCTCTCTGCTCAGTTTTCAATCTAATTCACTCAACCCAACTGCCACTGAAACATCAATAATATTAAATGAAATTCCCCTCCCTAGTTCTATAACCTTAAGTCCAGCAGTTGGCCAATGTCGTTCAACGGCTTACGATCTGCACCTGATGAAACTGAGGGTGGTAAACCAATTTCACCTAGGGAAGATCCATCCATCAAATATTAAAAATCAGTTGAAATTTATACCATGGTTATCAAAAATAAAATGCTCACAATTTATCTAATTACAAAACTGCCTCTGTTGCATTATTCAATTTGGGATGATATGAACTGCTATTTGCAAGGTAGGGATGCACTACTCTGATCTGCCAAATTGGTATCAGGGCTGGCACTGACCACATCAAGCAGACTTGATCCAAGATTAAATGAGATTTCTTTGACTATAAGTTTACAATGACATTGACATTGTTGCAAAGCAAGCTGTTGCAATCCCTGCCCTCGTGTCACCTCATGAACAAATGTTCCATATGAGTTCTATACAGTGGTATTGGATCAGGAATCCATATCAGTAGATTTGCTGAGATGAGGTATCAGAATCAGTATCAGGACAGAAAAGGACCCGTGCATCTCAATGGAGAGGGTTGACATTGCTTAGCCTTTGTTAATATACTGCAATTCATTACAACACAGAAACTACAGCTTTAAAAATTACCATTGTTGAAACCTACACCTTTCCCATATCCAACTGGGGGGCTGTTTCTGACCATTTCTATAACTTTGAAGTTGATGAATTAATATCTAGCTCAATCATATAGAACACAATATTTAATATTTCTGCTGGAAAAGGGAATCAGCTAGTAGATACCAACCATGCCTGTATTGTACTCTTCCTGGACAGCTATTTACAGGAGATGTAAACTGCTGTCAAATGTTTACCTTAACTTGAGCCTGAGTTCAGGGTTTTGACTTAATTGTGAATACTGACCAATAATCTGTAGTGCAACTAATTGAATCTATCAGTTAGGTTCCCTCAACTGCTCTACAATAGTAGGAATCTTAATTGGTTAAGCCACTGCACTTCAACTGAAGCAAGACAAGCGAGCAACAAAGGCATACAGACATAAATCTCCCTCAGCATGTACTACATTTCACTGTATAAACCTTTAAAAGATGCTTATATCCTAGGACACGCTCTTTGCAGTAAATGACTCACCTCTTCCGCTCTCCGTCCTCCCCACAGCTCTCCACGGAGCTGCTGTTACTGTTGCTGGTTATGTCGTTGAAAGCGTCCCCCAGGAACTCCCTAGCCTCCGGGGTGGGTCGCGAGTGGTTGATGGGTATCACATCTCGCCCTGCGAGCCACTGTTCATAGCGATCAGGCTGGAACTTCTTCACAAATACATCCATTGAAATCTTCACCATGTCCTTCCGGCATGAGCACTAAAGAAGATAAAAGCAAAAAATGGTTGTGATTCAAATGATATAAAATTGGTTATATAAATACATGTTTCCATACTTACTAGCAAGATAAAAATCTGATACAAATTAAGTTAAAGTGTGTGTGTGTTTTCTTATGATGTTCTTTGATGGTCCTCACCAAAACTGCTTGCTTGCCGTATTCAATCCATCTCTCTGTGGCAAAGTTGGTGGACTCGGCACAGTTGAAGCCGTGGTTGAAACCGGCATGATAGGCGTAGGGGAAAGTTACCATGAACTCTCCAGCCTCCTGAGTAATCTTAGGAAAAAGTACTAAAATAATTAGTAACTGCAATTTATATATTTGGCTTGTGTAGTGGTTATAAAAAGAGATCTGTTGTTTGAAATTCAAATAAACATATTCTCTTCCCTTACCTTTTCAAATGGAATGCCATACTTCTTCAGGATAGAGGGAGAGATGAGAGTCATCTTGTGCCTCAAAAAGGCTTCACAATTTTGGGAACTACCAGGAAAGAACCCTTGAAGAATAAAGAGCAGACAGATGTTGCATTGACACAGACTCCAGAGTCCAGGATTGTAGTTATATAGTTAGATGATAGAACATAGTTTTATACTGTAAACACCTACAGAAATGATTAATTGCTCTCATACCTTTAGCCAGACGCTCCAATCTTTTCCCATGCTCTGGAGGAACACAGTACCTACAGACAGTCAAATGAGTCTCCTCAGTGACAGTAAACTGGTGTTCTGCATAGTGTGTTTATCCATCTGCTCAACTGCCTATTTACCAAGTCTTTTCAGCCAGACACTGAATACATCACAGACAAAATATAACAGATACCATCCACACAGCTCAACTGTGCATAAACAGTATAACACTGTTTAAATGACAGAAGTTAAGGTGGTGTTGAACCTATAGTAGCTGAATGACCAACTGTATGGTCTACCCATTGCATGTTAAGTAAGGGCATGAAATGATGTACAGTTTCCTTTAGGCCTGAAAGACTTTAGATCTTGCAAAGTGGCTGTGGCATTTGATGGTTTAGGGGAATTCAGACTGACAACAGTAGAGATGCCACGGTGTGGACATTTTCCCACCAGGTAATAAAAAAGTGACAACACTGTTGTTATAGATTACACTGGACATTTTACAAGAACAGACGTGTTGGCTCAGTATCTGCAGAGCGCTTTCTTTGATCTTTAATGTTAGAGTTTCCTCTTACTTTTTGAACAAAACAAATGCTTAGAAGTTTCTGGTTCCCTTCTAGCATTGGATTTAAATTCAAAACATTGTCAAATAGGCACATTTGCTTTTCACTTTGACAACAAATCCTCTGCCACTGTCTTGTCGGTCAATGCTCCTCTCATCATCTGGTAACAGATGCTACTTTGCTACTCTGCTCTCACATACTTTGTTTATAATTGTAGCATCTGACTGTATGCAGTGTATTGATTCTCTCTGTTTCTTTCAATGCTTACATGTTTTTTTTTTTTTTTTTGCATATAGAGTGAGGAAGTGAGATCCAATCACAAGTCGTCACTCGAGATGCATGTGGAAACACATTTTAATTCCAGGTGTGAACTGATGTGCTGAGAGCTGTCCACTTGTGATCAGATCACCTTCTTTACCTGATCTCCTTAGTACTTACACCAAGGTCTCCTACTGTACTGAAGCTTTAGTGTTGTCCCTCACTTGTTAGTTGCTTTGGATAAAAGCATTTGCCAAATGAGTAATTATAAATGTGAACCAAAGCATTCTCGGATAGGGATTGATAGGATCCCCTGCTGCATCAATGATGTAGTGTCACTGAGACAAAAGAGGAAGCCTGCCTTTCGGTTGTTAAATGGTCTTTAGTTATGTAAATGACAACACTCACTTTCCATGTGGCAGATAAAGTTTCGTATAGACCTAAACAGACATCCTTTACTGCAATACAACAAGTTTCAAGCAGATGTAGGAAACCATTTTCAGATGAATATATCAATTATATAAGAATGTGCAAGAATTAAAAGCTTCACTTCTACAAGTAAGAAAAGAATATTTTGTTTCTTTACCATGATTTGGGTTCTCCGAAGTGCAAGTAGTTAATACTGTAGAGGTCCATGTCCTCAGTGTGCCATGCAAAGGTGGTCTTCCACATGCCGAAATACAAGTAGGGTGTATTAACACCCTCAATAGTGATGCCGCTTTCACGCTCAACAGTATCCAAAATGGTGTCCAGGTGGCAAATGTTCCACTCTTTGACTTCCTGCAGGAGTACAGAAAATAATAAATGAAGTGGTGACTAACAGCAGTGTGATTGCTAATGTTTTCAGCATTCTGTGTGGATCAGGTCAACAGGTATACAGCAAGCACACAGAAAACCCACTACTGATCAATACTCAAGAAAGCAACAACTTCCAGGAAAAGTCAACTCACAGGGTCATATAAAGTTCCATTAACATCTGCTCCATATATGGGAGGGTTAAATGTCACATTCTTCCAGTACTTCCTTTCAAGCTCCTCAAAGTCATCATAATGTGGACTACAGAACCTAGGAAAGGCATTAACAACAGTTAATTAGTTTCTACATCATAAATGAACTTTTAATATCATAGGGTTAAAAATGCTGTTGATAGTATTCAACTATAGGTGACAAAGATTTTCTAATGAATGAAAGGTTTAAATGTCTTATTTTGCACTTCTCACTTGTCACTGTTGGCAATCTTGCGGAACTCTTTGACAGTCATGGACTTCTTCTGGATGTTGTACTGTGTGAAAAGGCCAGACTGGCCTGTCACCACCTGCTGGATGGGTGCAGGTATCACCAAATCATCGATATCATCATAAGATCCTCTAGGCTTCCATTCCTTTGGTGGAACAATCTTGGAGGAGGGAAGTGGACAGTGAGTTACTCTGTTTTCTTAACACCATTTGTTATTGAGATCATTCACTAGCAAAGGTTTAGAGGTATGATTGTCGTTTTCTGACAAGTTGGTGTACAGATTTTTGCAATATATAGCGTAATGAAATTGAACAAACAGATGTCCTTATGGTAGTTCAACAATTTCAGAGAAAACACAGATACAAGACATCATATCTACCTGGTAGCCTTCAATAAATAAATAAATAATAAATTTAAATGTGTCATTGTTTTTTTTAATTTTGCATTTGCTCACCAATTCTTTTGCTGCTAATAAATGCAATCCTATAAATACTACAATGGCTGAGACTGCACTGTATCAGTACTTACTTTAGCCAGGCCTGCTTTATGTGCTCCCTGGGACTCCATATATGCAATGTAGCGGCTGAAGTTCTTGAACTCCTCAGCAGTGGGGTAAAATGTCATGATTCCTTTGGAACCATGGTTTTGGGAAACCACATCTGACGCCATCCCAAAACTCAGTGGCAGCGCCTGCATATTGTTAATGAGGAAATTGTGATTTTATGATGTGATATTTTGATTTAGTAGGGTTTTAAATAAACTATTCCATTATGCAATTTGTACTTGCAGCCAAGCATCTTTTACTGGATCTTATGTTTTTGCCTGCATCCCCATGGCTTTATTAAATATATGCCAAAGAAATCTATAGTTTAAAAGCAGTCTAAATTATATTTAGTAGTTATAAGCTATGACAAGACAACATTGTACATTTTGGCACATTATTTCCATAATTGATGATTCAAAAACATTTTCTGGCTTTGCAAATGAAAATACTCATTATCTCGTACCATCAACATCGCTGGTTCTGAACCGTTTTGTATAAATGTGTCTAATTATATGTCACAGTTGAATGTTACACGTTTGTATACGTTTCCTCACTATGGCGGGGGGCAGGCTGGTCTGGATGGGGCTGGGAAAAGCTTTAACCGCCCCTGATTGGTTAAACCCGCGTCTCTTTAATTCGACCCGACTGTGGAAGCCCAGACAGCTAGCATTAGCTCATTTGCTAACTTGCTAAAGATACATGAGCTAATTCGGGTAGCGAATATTCAGTAGTGCATAGCATAGCATTAGCTAATGTGATATAGCACAGATAGCATAGCACTGGTACTAAAAACCTATTTTGTTTTGGTCACGAACATGACACTGCAAATAAACGTGCAAATGACTACTGATGGTGAACCATGTCATCGTGTTTCCATGTTGTCTCTAAGGAAAATGCAACAATCACAAGACGGTTAGCGTTAGCTAGCCAGTTCACGCTGATACCGTGATGGGATGGGACTATATCCTGCATTACAGAATCCACCATTGCTGGTTACATCCTATCCAGTTCATTCGTATAGTGTGCCGTTAGCAAACTCGGACAGAAATAGCATCGACGTTCTCGTCACAAGACTTTGTAAGTTATAAAATTAAAACCACCTTATTCCTAATAGCGCCGTTCAACAAGTGTCGAGTTTGACGGATGATACAAACACTGAAACTATCACTCGCCAAGTCAATGATGTCTGTTCCAGGAAATAGACAAGACCCGACCCCTACCATCGACATTAGCTGTAAAGCAGTTCCGGCTAGTTTAGCCATCAGATTAGCCCTGTGAGTTAAGAAGCTAACATTCTGGGACGACAGTAAGACAACTCGAAAAGCGAATACTTACCACCTGTTCTCGGTTGATTCAGAAGTTGTCCCCGGCGTTGCAAATACCTCGCAATCAATAGAAACGGCAGTTGTGAACAGAACAGAAAGAAGACAGCTTGGTAACTAAGCCCCTTGTGAGTAGATCACTATCCTCCATTACCACTTCTACGCATGCACACGCACCTCGGATTTTGTTTACCACAACACGCATGGGACACGCTCAGCCTATCAGAGGGTGGCCCTGATGGCTCATTAACTTAAATTTGAGGTTTTTGTAATAAATGTAAATATTAACTTATTTGACCGATATATTGTCTAGTTTCGTATTTTAAATAATATATGGAGAGAACGGTTTTCTGGTGTGAAGCAAATTACTAGATACAACAAAAAGATGTATTTCAGAGAGAATTTTTTGCTGTTTCAAACACATTAGGTCACTATGTTAGAAATGTTTCACCTCAGTCATCTGTTGTCGCTGATCACAAGGACGTCTGTTTAATATTTAATTTTAATAAAATAATAAATATTGTACGTTAGCACAACCAGTGTTCACAGGGATTTATTTGGGAGTGGATTAAATTAGCTGCTATGCTGATAGGCTAAGAAAGGTATTTATTAAAAATGATTAGGGGAGATAATCTGATAATACTTAGGCTATGTGGCTGTATCTTGCATCTAGTCTTACCGCTTATGCTTCTGGCTGCAGTCCTTGTGTAAAAATCAGAACAAATAATCTGGTCTACCAATGTTTCTCCAAAAATGCCTGTAATTTCTTTGTTTTGTATTTGGTGTAAAATGCACAACAGTCATTTTCATATGTTTAATTTGTAATGAAATTATTGTAATGCAGCAATTGTAATGTAATGGAGAAAAACAAACCATATAACAGCAAAAACAACAAGCAAGCAAAAACACCTGTAGACTGTGAACATCTGTTTTATTTCATGCCAGGAAAGGCACATTCATACACTGAATCCGACTGTTTTCATAGGCTATATAATGTTATATGCATCTACACTCAGGCAGTGCATATATTATGATTCCCATGAATAAATGCAACAGTAACATTAGCACATTTTGTTAACCACAAAAAGATATAGCACATATGAGCACTGACAATTTGTATATGCACACTTTTAGCATAAGAGGAAGTACTTGTGCACCCTGTAGTCCATACAGTTTTACTGACCTTTTACACCAAAGGAAACATACAGTACATTGCATCAGCAGCACTTGTTGGTTTTTGGAAAGTCCATAGAGAATATATAACTTTTTAGAGGCGTCAGTGCCAGGTCAGTTTGTCTTCATTCTATTTCTCTCTATTTTGTTCCAGTTGCATAAGACCAGTCATGTTGCATCCGCATTCTGTCAAAATGCATATATAACAGACCAGCGTGGTGAGTACAGATGTCCCTCTTTTTAAGGGGACTTCCTCCTTTGGCCGACTCATGTTTGATTTTAAGCTTTGGACACCCAGTTTGAAATCCAACAGTTTACACTGTTTGCTACTCAAAACAGTATAAAGTATCCAGTCAACCTATAAGCACTGTCCAGGAGCATAATGGACTGTGCTTTTACTCGCACCTTACTGTCCCACTATGAGACAAAGCAACACCCATGAATGAATGTCTTTCAGTGAGCATAATGTTCAGCTCATTCTTTCAGTCTGACACTATTAGATAAATAGGATGGACTGGAGAGTAGTAGAGGAACACACACTTGGTTTGCGTTTATCAGCTTAAGAGACACAACAGCTTAAAGCGGTCAATACAACCACAATTTGTTATGGCAGTTGCTGTTATTTCAGAATAAAGGCAAAATAATACTTACATATTAAGAGGAACACTCGTTTGATTAGAGAGGAGTGCACTGGGAGTTTTTCAATATGAGAATATATTGCAACTGTCTGTAACAACCCTCATACCTTTTCATATTCTGAACTCATGCAGGGCCCCAGTACTCTGTATCCTTAGGATATTATATAGTTTTGAAGAAATGGCTGCTAGAATAAAGGAGGAGAACTATTAGGCATCCATGTTTGTTTACATCTGTTTTTTTGCAACCATTTCCCATAAATCTCTCATTGAATATTACTTAATTTTCATGCAACTATGAATTGATGAATTGGTTACATTGTGCTTAACATAGCCACACATAGCTTTTTGGATTTAGATTTTATATTAGAGTTCAATATATGGAAAATAAAGTGTAATTAAATTGTAATTTGGAAATAGATGATCCAATTTCACTGACTATAGCTATTGTGAGTCTTCATGTTTGAGATGGTGTTGAGTGCACTGTGTAAATGTGGTTAATAGGTGGCTGGTTTGTAGGTGAACTATGAATTTTTGTGTATCTCCTTCAGGCATCATGTATTTTCATGTATGCATGTGGTGCGATTATTAGTTACATTTTGCATGTACATCAGTATATATTTGATGATGTGAATCCATTTCCCTCTACCATCGAGTCAGTATTTGATAATATTAATTATTATCAACAGTTGAATTTTATCGTAAGCTATCCTTCACCATCACCATTCTGGCAAATCAGATCTGAAATTCCTCAGTCCAACACATTACTTTGCCAACTTCTCATTGAAAGCGGATGTAAGATGGCCCCAATGATAAGTTAATAATCATTTCATAAAGGTTGAAGAGAAGCTCTGCAGTACTTTACAGAATATTTGAGATAAAGGCGAGGAAATTCTGACACCATTTCATGGATTTTATGCCTCTTGCATCTTGTAGTAGTCAGTTCTTTCACCAGAAACATTTCATACACAAATCACAAATGGACATTGTCCTTTTGATCTCCAGGTACTGTGTCGCTTTGCAAACATGACGTGATGGAGCACAGACTCGTATCAAAAAGCGAAGCACAAACTGACTGTGTATTTGCATCCGTTCCTCTCGTCTTTATGTTTGTTCCATCGTTCTCTAGTTGGCACCATGCCTATGTCCTGCTTTATCTTGAAGCACCAGTGGCCGTCCGCATCCGTAAGATGTGGCCCTGTATATAACAGCTCTCAGCCTAGGAGCAGCCTTAAGAACACATGCCAACCGCCAAGAAAAGGCCTTCTGCTTGGTTCTGTGATCAAACTAGACTCCTGGTTGGTTATTTGTCCATATGGTTATTGATTTTCAGTGTGTGGAGAGTGTCACTGACAGCAACTGTCATCTCTGTGTCTGTCTTGCAGCTGTCTTTTCTGGACATGTCAGGCTCCCATAGGAAGAACTCGTGGAGGAGGGTGTTGACAATGTCAGGACACTCCATCATGACCATGTGACTTCCTTCCTCAATGACTTTTAAGAATGCAAACAAGAGGATCTACAAAAGGAGGCACAAATGAAAAAAAAAAATTCAATAGCAACAAACAGCACAAACACGACATTTCATATTAACAATCACATGATACATCAGCACTTGTTCACATATGAAGATGTTCTATACCTCTGCCATGCGCTGGTCCTCATCCATGGGCACAAACTTGTCACACATGCCATGAACCAGAAGGATGGGCACAGTGAGCTCAGCATGATAGACCTCATCCCCCTCAGGCCAGTACTGGCCACTCATCATGGCTCGCAGGACAAATGGAGACACATTGAAGGCATTGCCCTGCTTTAACAGCTGCTTTTCTTTGGCGCCCTGACGGGCAAATCCAGCTCTAGAGGAGAGAGAAAAAAAAGTTTTCTGTATCACTTTTCAACTGTTACAATCTTTTTTTGCCTGCGATGAGAGAAGTGACTGTGGTGTGTCATTATTTTGTAGGCCAAATTCTGGCACCACACAATTGCAGATCTTACTTGAGGAAGCTCCAGGCCAGACAGGGTGACAGACAGTGAAGGACGCAAGATGGCAGCTGGAAGATGGAGCAGAGGCTGGGCTCCAGAGCTGTGGGACCCCCTCCGTTGATCATCACCACCTTATGGACCAAATCAGGGTACTCATGGGCCAGGAAGGTGCAAAATGATACTCTGGAAGAGATATAATAAGATGGATATATAGTATGTAAACAGCATGTCGGAAAAAACTATTACTAAAGCTACTTCGATCGGCTGTAGAGTTGTTTCAGAGACACTGAAAAAAGCTTCTCACAAAGACTCACCCATATGAGTGGCCAATGAGAATGTTGCGTTTACGAGCATATCTCTTAAAGATGGCACGTAGGTCCTCCGCCAGGGCATAAAACGTATAAGCTGCTGCTATCTGTGGGGCAGTGCTCGCTCCATGCCCCGCCAGATCTGGCGCAATGACCTCATAGCCCAGCCGAGAGAAGAAGTCCAGTTGGCTGCCCCAAATGTCCAGAGAGCCTCCCACACCGTGCACAAAGAACAGCGCTACGTCTGAGTGCGTCCCTTTGCAGCTTGAGATCACCCTCCTTGAGTCAATAAACACCGTGCGCTTGGGCTTGCGACGGCGGCGGCGAGGAGGTGGGGCAGGTTTCTGTTCCCCAGGAGGTGGAGGAACTGGAGGAGGAACAGGGTTGGGGTCTGGAGAAGAGGCCAGTTCTTTGTAGTCAGCCAGCTCCACCTCCACAGTGCTACAAGGCTCCAGATCCCCATCCTGACACTGCAGGATCTCTGAGTGCAAAACATCGCCGAGATTCTCAATCACCAGCTGGCCGTTGCGGTAGACTGTGATCTTCCTCTTACAGTGGACACTGCTGCCGGTGCTGCTCTCATTATCCTCAGGAGAGCTGTCATCGTCACAGTCGCCATCCGGCCTCTCATGGCCTGAAACCTGGTCTTCCGTCACTAAGGGCTGACGCTCTGGGACAATGTGCCGTACTCGCAGGACTCTCCCAGGTTTCACCTCCACAAACTCAAATCCATCAGAAGGCTCTGACGACTCCAGGGGCAAGACCAGACTGGCAGCCTTCCCAGTCAGGCAGCACAGTATCCCTTCAGTGATGCTGGTCAGCATGGCGCCTCCCTGCATAAACAGCATCACACAGATACAACGAGGAGATCATCACTCAGATGTTAATTTGATATATAGCACGAAAGCAGACTATGAAATGTACAAAATGGAAAAATAGACAATGTATAAACATATGGCTGTGGTTTGTGAAGCTTATTACCCTTCTCCAATTAGCGTTTCACTATTCATGTGTTCCTCACAGTTTCAAGCATAAGCATTATGCTTTGCAGGTTTGCAGTGTTTGCAAATGTCAACAGCTCACCAGGAAGAAATTGGGTCCCAGCTTGACTCCTATAAAATTGGGCCCAAGCTGTTTCCTAGCAACGCAGTTACAATGCAATAGTCTTCTTTATCCTTTCATCAGACCACAGGCAGTGTCAGGTGAAATGAAACACACCAAGAACGGGGATGCTATCAGTTTAACAGACAGCAAACCACTATGCAAATTCAAAATACCACAGTCAGTGTAAGTGCAGCACCAACAGCCTTTGTAAAGCTCTACCAACACACTCACCTGGGTGACAAAGCAGCTTAACATTCAGAGATTCCACGTTCATAAACACGCAACTAAAAACAATACTTGTCCCCTATGTCAGTGAGGACCGACCATTCACATGCCGACCTAGACGTATGCTATTAATAACGTCGTGCCCCCCACCCCCCCTCCCGTTTCACATGGTCAGAATCAGGATATATATAAATAGAAAACATCAGTCATATGGCACGACGGCATACAATGTCTCGTGCCAGTGTGACAGCAGTTTTCCAGGCTATACCATTTCCAGTGGAGATGAGACAAAAAAAAAAACTGTCTTTGTGTTCCTGCTCAGGTCCAGTCATAGCTAAACTGCATATTGCCATGTTCTGCAAATGAAGCATCGTTGGTCCTCACTTCTCATACAAACACAGGCTGGTTATCTCAGGGAAACACAGTGGGAAGAGTCACGTCTAACATGGAAAGGCTTTATTGTTTCCTGGTTACAGAAACTGTGAAGCAGAGCTCAGTAAGCACATTATTGCCTACAGGGCAGACAGTCGCATCACTGCTCATAATATAGCATCCATGCATGTTTAGATGAGACGTTGAGAGACGATATGTAATAAATATGAATGGGTGACAACATCAGTGAAAGAGACTTTTATTGCACTGGCGCTACAGTGAGGGGGAAAATGGAGCTGGTTTACCTAGTGTATGTCTGCGTGTGCACAGGAGGGTTCATGTGTGCATGTGTCTGTGTGCATGTGTTGTTGTTGTTGGCAGGATGGTCTGAAGGTCAGTGCATCAAGAGCTATCCAGTTACACCCTGGAGCTGGATGAATGTTAACTGACTGTCCTGTCTTTCCGCAAACATCAACATGGAGCGTTGACACAAGAAGCAAACAGACAGTGTCAGTCAGCAGAACTGCAGCAAGCCTTGATTTATAGTGTCTGTCTGTCTCTCTGTCTATCTATCTATGTATCTATCTATCTATCTATTTTTGATGGTTCTTAAACATTTTTGTCAATCTGTCATTTTATTATCAACCAATCAGTCATGTCACATCAGCTACAAGTGGTAAATGATGAGAGGTTGTCCCTCATGACAGTGGTGAACACTCCACATCAAGCAGGATGTCACTTAACAGTTTGGATGTCCCTGGCATACAGATACACTTCCCCTCATTAACAGAAAACTACAGCAGCACTGATCAGCAGAGCTATCATTTACATCAGGGATTCTCTTCCTGACCTACTATCTATCCCTCACTTGCATGAACCAGGATTTCAATATGGCAACTCAAATCTACCCACCCTGAAGTCAAACAGGCTGAAGGTTACTCAGCCATGTTCATGTTTTTTTTTGTCTGCACTGCAGAGTATATAGGTTGATATATCTGCCAAGTCTTACACTAACACACATTTGGTACACTATGTGCTGCTCTATTTTCATAGCGTGGGTTTACACACAGTACAGTACCAGGCAGTCTGCCATGATATCTGCACAAGAAATGCGTATGTGCAAAAATGAGACCAATATTTAAAAAAATAAATAAATAAAAGGGCCTAGGCACAAATGTCCTATATGACGTTGCTGGTTCTTCAAGCCTATGACCCCAAAACACCAAGCCATCAACCGCAGTACTAGGCTTCATATTTCAATAGTTTGACATAAATCATTAAGTGTCATGTTTCACAATAATGAAAAAAGTGCACTACATTAATAAATAGCATCGCTTAACATATATTTGAAGGATTAAAAATCCGTAGCAGGCTTTTGGAAGGCCGTGATTGCAAAGTCTATATTACTGATAGATTTTACATTTAAATGTGAATAAACAACAGTTGACAGATGTATTATTTTTGCTCTGTCACAGGACAAATGCATGCAGTAACCGTGCAGCTGTTTATCGATGCTGATGCCAATATGTTGCACAATAAACATTAGCTCATTAGACAACATAATGCAATCAAAATCGACCCCTTACCTGCAGAATTACTGATGATTGAGGTGATTAGGAATGTGCACCAAAAGATGACAGTCAAGGGCCGACGAAACTGAAGTGAGAAAACGTTGCATTTGGTGCAACAACTCGTCTACGCTAGAGACGCTGCAAAATAGTGAAAACGTCTTATTAGCCTTGTTAGACTGCTACCACAGAACACGGAGGGGCTTGCAGTTATGAGAAGGCATGCATCTAGAAAACTGTGCAAATTGCATTTTAATAAGATACCCATTACGATAACAAACGCCAATGTTTTTCTCCCTCAGCATCCACTGCGCATCCAGGCCAGACCCTACCCACCCCTGCTGCCCTAGTATCCGCATCAGCCACAGCAGTGTTCGGGCATCTTGGGTCCTGAGTGGCAGTGCGCAGGGCGAATAGAAGAACTGAGTGTTCTGAGAGGAGGCCAATGAGAGAAGCTTGATTCCCTGTTGCTAAGGCTGACAGAGTAGCAACACGCGCGCGTGCGTGTGCGTGCGTGCTTGCGGTCAGGAAGAGTGACAGAAATGATAAACTAATAGTCCAGTTATTTATCCAAATTTGCCACAATCAGGTCTGAATATGTGGCTCCATTTCAAATTCCACATCTGATTTGAAATCATCTGAACTGAATCATCACGAGCTGACACCCAAACGTCTTATTGCAGCTGCTGCATCACTGTAGGGAGAAATGACCTTTAAGTTTTGACATTGTCTTTAGATGTGCTCTCTTAATGTTACCCCTGAACTAACATCAACAATGTGAAACCGCTGGGACAGTCCGGTGCCTGTCACTGAATAGACAGCTATGACGTTTATGGGGCGGAGACGGGCGGAGGGTCTGTGAGTCAACAGCTGTGTACTCTCTGTTAGTGTCTGGCGGCCAGTGTAAATAACAATTATTCTTTATGTTTATGCCAAGCAGGCATTGCAGTTTTAATAGAGGGCTATAAAAATCAATCAGGCCAATTAACATGCCAGGGTAGCCCTACTGTATATGGAACTTTCCCCTCCCATATCCACTATGAAAACAAACTATATTGCATGAAAAGGCGATTTCCTTATTATCAGAGAACAAACAACCCTCATGTAACCACTTATTCAGGATGTAAATCTTTATTGTACTGTTGAGATGAACACCATTTTCTCAGTTGTGAACCAATCCTCAGTTATTCCCAAAATATTACATTTTCTCACACCTAATTTTGTCATACACAACCTCATTCTTGTCAAACAGAATTCAGATGTATTAGTACAAATAACTTCTATCTACCTGCACATACTAAATCTCTCTTATCAACATGCTCATTGTGTAAATGCTCATATTAAAGATAATGTATCCAGACCCTATGAAAGCAGCAGCCTTAAATGTATATTAATATCGGGGGTTGCATGTAAATCTAAATACATAAATAAAGACACAGTTTCAGTAGATTCCTACATATTGGCAAAACTATTCAACCTTTTGACTGTTGAAGGGAATTACATTTTGGTAGCAGTGCTGCACTAATTAAATAAAGTAAATATATTATACATTATTTGAATGAGACACATTGCAAATTAAGTGAATTGTTGTGCTGCAGGGATTTAGGGTGACTGCACCTAGTCATGTATATAATACAGTGTGCGTTGCAAAAATGAGAATTGTAACAGTGTCTCAAAAAAAAGACGTGCACATGAAATTGAGGAAAAGCTACACATTTTTTTATACCCTGAGTAAAAACTCTTAGGCAGAACTTCCTCTCAGACAGCACACAAATCCCATTTTACACCTTGTTTCGTATCTCCGTCTGGCACTAACCTGAAACTATAACCTTTAAATTAATTCCTGAGCCTTGCCAACAAACTGTGTCATTGGTGAAAAATGGTGCTGGCGGTTTATACACTGCTTGAAGATTTTAGCCTTGAAAGCGTAACTCAGGGGAAATATTTCCTACTCCAGCAAAAAGCATTTCAATTGGCCGAAAAGTCTGAGCCAATCACTGTGCTTCATATACGGCGGGTGGCTAGCAGACCTGTGACATTCACTGTTCTCATGTCTGTGTCAACTGTATAAATATCTCAAAATGAACACTATACTGTCGTCTTTTTCCCGACTGCGTGGGATAACCTATTTCAGCAGGTAACTAGAGTTGCACATGTTTTCATAAAAGACAAACGGCAAAGCCAACACTGCTTGTTTACGATGCTAACATTGACAAGCTAGCTTAGCAGTAGTTAGCAGCGTGGATAGTTAATCATGAAGGTAGTTAGCTACTGGTTGGAAATATTTAGTTGGTTGATGGATAATCTAACTATAGCTTAATGATATCTGATCAAACCAAAGTTCAAATGGACAAATTATAAACGTAATTTTTCTGTATTTATGAACGACTATACATGTATAATCCTGTGTGACTCAAGTACAATAGTAATTGTGAAATGACAGGATGTTGTGACTTAAAGTAACAGTTAAAATTTGTCATCAAATGTCATCATAATGTTGATGGTAGAAATCAAGGCTTTTGCAGTACCATAAATGTATTACAACTCAAGTGTTTCATCGCAGCAGTTATATGGCATAGTATTAGAGAATAGTATTTGTTTGTAACATTGTTTATCTGTGCTCTTTCAGCAGCATCCCTGCAGGGAACCTTGCAACAATGGGCACCTCTCCTCTCAGATTATTCAGCAACTGGATTGCACCTAGAGCTGCTGCAGGACTTCAGATTTCCAGATGCGGGCCGCTTTCTTCACAAGCTGAGGGTTCAGGAGTGTTCCAGCAGCTTCCATGGCAATACCAGCAGGTACGGACACGGAAAAGAGGCACGGAGTATCAGCCCAAGAACATCAAACGCAAGAGGACCCACGGCTGGATCAAGAGGATTAGCTCACAAGGAGGCATAGAAGTGATTCTACGGCGCATGCTCAAGGGACGGAAATCACTCTCACACTGAAGGTTCTTGTTGGAAGAACTTGTTAAGACTTTCAAAAAATGCTGGAGGAGCTCAGCAAAGAGAAAAGAACTTGTATATCGGGTTAATTGGTGATACTGGATGTGGTTTGGGTTTGGCATTCCCACCGCATTCATAATGGGTGGGAGAGTGGAAACTGGCCTTCAACAAAAAAGTTGTATTTTCCTTGAATCCGTCCATAAATCTGCTAGTTTCATACAATATTTAATGGGGCTTAATTTCATACATATTAAATAATACTCAACATCTATGTAAAGTTATGGGCATAATCATTAAATGTAAGCAGATTTATGGATTTTTTTTTCTTTTGAGCTTGTGTGATATTTGTTTGAAAGACAAAAATGTGACTTTAATAAAATAAAATTGCCAAATCACCGTCATGTTACTTCTTCAATAAAAACCATCCATGCAGAATTTACAAAACATGCATTTGTGATTGAAAGAAGTGCCTCCAAGTGATAATCTTGACCTTCAAAGTTGGCTGCCATCTACTGTTTGTGACAAAGTTGTAGCTGTATTCAACTGAAAGCAATATAAAGAGAGCTTTAACTAGATATTTGAGATGCAGGGGGAGAGGACTTCTTTCAGACAGTGTAGAGAGGAGTCCTTGTGGCTCTCTGTTACGTCATGTAAGATAACACAGAATTTCCTTAGCTGGCTTTCATTTATAAAACAAGAAACAGGTGAAAATTAGAAGTTGTGACAACTAAAAATTAGACAAGAGAAAACTGACATTAACTTATAATTTTATATGCCAGATAACATACATGAGTATGTGGAAATAGTACTTGGTAGTAATTGAATAATATGCAGTTAAAACTACAGTTTTAGCACATTTATTTCACAGTAGTTGGTTCAGTATGAGTTTAAAAGTAGTTTTTGGAAAGAGCTGGTTTTAATATATTCACTGCTGCGACTTGTGTCTATAACCTTATAATATCACGTTGCTAATTTATGCATTTTATATGAACGATTCAGATAAAAAATATATTTATCATCAACCTTATTAGTAACTGGTCATTAAATTTGCGCTTTTAGAGGAGAGAATGCATTGTTGTTACATTTAGTTTTTTTAATCAGTATTTCAACCGTCATTCACTCTGTTCTTATTCGCTCAACTCAGTTGTGTTCGGCAGCAGCAGGTAACAGAAGCATAAACGCATATTGTACACGCAGGCAGACACAGCAGAAAATACTTGTGTTGTTTTCACTAGAGCTGCATGCCACCACCGACCTTAACTGGAGGATTGGTCTGTTACATAATCGCTTTCTAACCAATCAGCGCCTTGCTTTTTCTCTCTCTTCACAGATCGCCCGCTGGTCAACCAATCAGGTACGTCGAATCTCGGACTGTAACCGCCCCCGAACAGACGAACAACAAAAATGGAGTTGTGAACTAGTAGCAACTTAGCTACCAGAGGACGTTCAATTTCTGTCTTTGCTTAAACACCTTTACGTGAGTGGAAGTTTCTACCTGACCGAAGTAGCGCAATGCGACCATATCAAAGTAATACGTAGTTTGTATTTTGTAGCAGTCGTAAGAAGCTATCGAGCGGGTAAACAAACCGGTATCTTGGCTACGACAAAGACAACAAGGTTTAGCAGCTAGCCAGCTAAAAGAGTAGCATCTGCTCGTGTTCACTCTCACCGTGAGGAGCTAGTCAACAAACGAGGAGCGTGACTCGGGCAAAAATGGAGAAGGTAGGTCCATATGTGTTTCTTTACTTAATCGTCGTGTCAGCTTGGTTGGTTTTTTATTGTATTGGTATTGATAAACATGTTTCGTGCGTGGTGGCAAATAGAACATGGTCTCTGTCACTGGTGAAATGAAAGGGGTAGGAATTGTTCTGGCTGTGGTAGTTGGCCCTACCACCCGGGACTTTCCACGAGTTACAACAGTAGGCACGGAGAAACGTTTTTGTTCATATTGTTCTTCTCTGTTGCGTCCACAGGGAGATTTCCTGAAGGGACTACCAGTCTACAACAAAAACAACTTCAGCAGGTTCCATGCAGACTCTGTATGTAAAGCATCAGTAAGTGATCCTGTTTGTTCTCAAAGTGCTAACATTAGGATAAAAATCACATGTTGGCAGTTCATGGTGTAATTTAAGTGAGTTAAATTCAAGAATTTTTGGTCACATGGTCTGTCATCTTACACACTAATGTGGATCTCAATATTGTTTTAGAACCGTCGGCCATCTGTGTATCTTCCCACCCGAGAATATCCATCAGAGCAGAGTACGTACTTGGACTGAGAGGATGTACATTGAGCTGGAGAAACTACATATTTCTATCCAAATGTTAAATATTGATTATATATTTTAGTTTTATCTGAATAAAGCAGTGTTCCCAAAGCACACATGACATTTTTTTCCTTAGCCATGGTCTCAATTTCCCTCTCAAATCACCTTCACTTCTAGGATGACATAGTAGTAAACACAAAGTCTGTTCATCTTTATGAGAACAGCTAATTTCTACACATTTGATCTTCACCTTGTAATGTGTCTCTCATGATCAAATAAGTGTCTGTTGTTTCTCCTCAGTCATAGTCACAGAGAAGACAAACATCTTGTTGCGATATCTCCATCAACAGTGGGACAAAAAGGTAAAGGTTTTAAAGAGACTCATAAGTGCTGGTGCTAATTGCGTTATCTGTGACAGTAGAGATCCTCTGTGTTGCTGTTAATAATTTGTTAAATGTCATCCTTCTTTTCTTGTGTCTTCAGAATGCAGCAAAAAAGCGAGAGCAGGAACATGTAGAGGGGGAGAACATGGCTCCTCCAAGAAAAATTGCCAGAACGGACAGCCGAGAGCTGAATGAGGATTCATAAAGCAATGTGCTGTCAGTGCACACCCAGCAGAGACTGACCTACACGAACAAAATGCACACACGGATTCAGGATATATGTTTGCAAACCCAGGCCTTGACACTGAAGCACACAAGGATCGACACATTTCAGACCACAGTCTTCATGACATTAATTTCAAAAGTAGAGAGATTTATGTAACCAAAAGCTTTTTTTCCTCAGTTTATTTACTGCTCTCCCTCGCTTTATCCTTTACTTCCAAAAACCTATGCCTCAGATTTTAGTCTTTGTAGTTTTAAAAATAACATACATCTACCTCCTTATTCCTCAGCCCCACTGGTTTTCATTCACGTATGCTCACAGACTTTTCTTTGAAATATGCAGGGAGTTAAATCATTGCTCCTCTGCTACCATTTAAGAGTTTACAGCTATAGTTATTCATACCATCTCTGAGATATGCATGCTTTAAGTTAAGGCTGTATTTGTGATTAAGTGGCATGCCATCTTTTTTGGCTCCCACCCCATTTGTATTTTTTTTTTAGTTTTGAATTATGTAATGACAGTGGTCCTTTAAAATATTATTTTAGCTCATCCTTTATGTGATTACTGTCATTAGAGTAACTGAAAATAAAACAGCAGTTGTTCCTTGCTTAGATTGATTATCCATTCAGGGTTTGTTATGGATTGTGTTGTGGAAAAAGACGCGTGCTGAAAGAAATTTTTTTATGTTTTCTCCTGATGAATAATGATTTATTGCCTTAAGTGGAAGTGAGTGTGTTTTCACTATGTCTTAGATCGCCCCCTTGGTTTACATTGTTGTTTTAGGAGGAATTGAACCAATGCTGATCTGAGTGGATATTAGCATGTCCTTTCAATGAGGATGCATTTAAGCCAATACAGTCATGTTAGAGGATGCAAACTCTTTTTGTACAGTATGATCTGCAGATTTTGTAGCTATATTCATGACTTTATGAGCAGAGCCTGTGTGTTTGTAATTGCAAAGTTAGCACAGTATTTTATGAAAGGCACACAGGTATGTGTAAATCTACACTTTAGCGACTAACATGTAGGCTTCCTGTAAGGGCTGCTGTCAATCCTTGTCATAATTGTGCCATTCACGTTTGTCCAATAGGTCGATCAGTTGAGTCATAGTGAGGGAATATGTGTTTGGATTTACAAGCTTTTGACAGCAGGGCTAAGTAAACAGTCTGTGTGTGCTGCTCGTAAAATTGGTGAAGCTCATCATAATGCTCCATGAGTTTTGTATATTTGTACAGTGTGTATATTGTGATTGTTCTAATCAGGTAACAAGACAACTACTCACTCTTTATCTTCCCTAAGGCAGCCATATTGTTATTTCACAATGTTTAGCCAAATTGTTCTTTTACATCAGAGGGATACAAACCAGAGTTTGGTTCATAACAAACAAAAACATTTTATTTAATTTGCTTTGCACCTTTAGAAAAATCAGTTTTTGCAAATTTTTTAAAAGAGGAAGCTGCTGCAAATTGTGTTTACCACATTTTCAGTGTTTGGCATGGCAGATTAATGTTTAAAGGTTTACAGAGTATGTTTTCAGTTTTAATTTTTGCTGCTCATGTAAATCAAACCAAGTAGAATACACACTGTGAGTTTCTCAAGTATGACTTTAACCTACAGACGTTCAGTGTTTTATTTTTCCCAGCTCTCCATAGAAGAGTGTGCTAATTCTACTTTAGTGATATGGTTTGTATCACATCACCTGATTTAAGTTTGGAATGTGTTTATTGTTAAATGCTTTGCGTTGAGTTTATTGTATAAATGCATTGTTGTCAATTTAAGATCTTGCTCTGTATAGATTATACTATGAATACAGTAAAGGCTATAACTCACAGTAATTAACTGTTTTTTGGGTGGAACTGAAGAAAATCTCCTCCTTCCTATAACATATAGCAAATAGGATGGAATTTGATTGGAAATTATCTTACATCGTTCTTCAGGAGTGTGTTTATTCAAGAGTGTGTTCTGTTTTGAAGTGTTACAATTTGCCCAACAAACTTAGTTTACATACATATTATATTTCTGGGACACAAATCAACCCAGCAACACAGACTATCATCCAGTGATATTTATTAACAGTTAACAAAATCAGCCAGTGCATTATCTCTTGATGGATGTTTATTCAAGTGATATTTATTTGCATCAGAGAAGTACATTCACTAATTTATGTAGTAAAATAATTCATAGAAAACCAAAGTTAAGAAAAATAGAATATTTTTTATGGTCACAGTGAGTATAATCTGACCTATTGCGGAAGAATACAATGGCTTTGAAAGTGCTTCACAACTGAAAAGACATGGTGGACACATAATGCATGCACATGACGCAACATGCATTCAATACAGGCATCAGAATGAGAAACAAACTTGGAATGGGAAGCTGCTGTTCATGTCCTTTTGACAAAAGGGCTCATTGATGATCAGGTCCTTGTTTTGTTCTGTTTTTATTTATTTTTTTAAAAAGATCCTTCACATCAACATATTCTGTTCTGGTGCTGTTGAAACCCAGGCAGTCATGCAGTATTTCAACCTTTAGTAAAGGTTTTTCAAGCCCCGTTCAAGTAGATACACTTACTGTACATATTTTACTTGGAAGCTAGATAATCAAGTGTTAGATACAGTATAATACTTTGTGCGAAGTTAGTTGCATCAAGATTCAAAGTCTAACGCTCGCTGACCTTAGATGTGGTCCTTGTGACTAACATGTTCTCCTACAGTACAGGTGTGTCGCTGTCTCTCAGTGTTGCCTGAACATTTGTACATTGCTCTCCATTCATAACATTACATTGGCATGGCTGAACTTTTATTAACTCTTTGAGCCAGAGTTTTCTAAATCAGTCAATTGTCTTGATTCTCCTTTATCTGACTCATTAGAGGGTAATTCCTCTTGGGATGTGTTTAAGTCATACCTGTTGGGCTGAGCGTTAGCAGCCTGGGTCGGTGGTTGTGTCCCATTTGCACACACAACCGTACCCTCGGACTTGCTGAAACTGAACAGCTTCCCGGGACTGAATGTTCTGTTGGGGGACTGTGACCTCTCCTGGCCACTAGGGGGAACCGAAGAGGTCACAGTTGACCCAGGCGTTGGTCCAACTGCCACTGCTGGCTCTTTTTTCACCTCAGGCGACTTCAGGAACTTCAGAAATCCTGGGAGCTTTGCCTCGCCTCCTGTTGGGGACTGAGCTGGTGAGCGTGAGGTGCCGGAGGAGAACTTCCCCTGGAGAGGGATGATCTGTTTCAGCTTCATCACATTGTTGTTTCCCAGCAGAGAGCTGGGTCTCTTCGGCTTGTCCCCTGGCTTGCCCCCTGATACTTTGTCATGGTGATGCTGGTGGTGGGTGTCTGCCCTGTGGTACTCGCTCTCCTGACGGGCCTCGGCCTGCAGCTCGGCCTGACGCTGAAGCTCCTCCTCCTCACGCCGGCGCCTGAGCTGCTGTTGGAAGTGATGCTGCGCCTGCTGCTCATGCTTCTAGATGGGGAGGCATGTTAAAATGAAGATAGAGAAGAAGAGAGAAAGATTCATAGGAAGAAAGACGGCAAAACAGAGAAAGGTGAGAGAGAACAGGATGAATAAAAGCATGAATACACCCCCAGCAATTAAAGGTTAAATTATAAACTCTCATGCTAAATATGCTGACATTTTGTCATTTGCTCTTTACTGTCTCTATGACAAAACTTATCTTAAGACATGATGTATTACAACACTATACAGACACACATAGTCAAACACACACATTTATTTCTCATCAAGTGAGAAAAGGCTGCACGAGTGTACATTTTTGGACAATGCACACTAACAGACCAAGGGACACACAGGGGGTATGTGTATAGAAATATGATATAAATCGCACAAAGTTCAGCCAGCAGCAAGCCTAACGTTGGCCGAAGGTCTTTCAAGCTATGATACAACTATACCTTGAAAGCTTCCCTTCGTCGGTACTCTAGCTTGGCCATCTCTTCTGCTACCCAGCCAGGGATATCAGGGATGGCAACATGGATGACGTACTTTAGGAGGATTGCAAAGTGCTGTAAACCACCGAGACCACAAAGGGACAGGCTCAACACGCAGTTACATCAAGGCACAATCACATTCTGTTTCTTATTCTGTATTTTCTCCAAAGACAAAACACCACATCTCATACACATACCAAAAACTCTTGTGAGGTTTTGTGTTCATTAATGAACTTGGCTCAAAAATTGTATTTTACAGAACAACAAAAGATAGCAGGCCGTGCACATTGGTACTTCTTTTGTAATCTTAAAAAAAAGTGTCATTTTGGGAATAAAACTACATTTTGTTAAAACTACCAAACTCCTGACGGACAAACCTGCGTTTGTTTTACAGCATACCTCCAGTAAGACGATGGAGATGATGGTCATCTCAGGACTCAACCAGGGGAAGAGACGCTGGAGCTGCCCACACTGACCTATCAGGTAACAGTTAACTATGATGGCTATCAAGCCCATAGCCTCCATTGCAGTCTGGTGTTGAGAGAGAGAGAGAGAGACAGAGAGAGAGAGAGAAATTTCCAGGCTATCAGGTGGCCCCACTATACAAACCGTAGTCTTGTCTGACATTTTCCAAAACAAAACACACTGACCTGCCATTGTCCAATGTTCTCCACTCTCTGTCCAAAGGGCCTCTGAAGGCCGGTGCACAGCTTCAGAGCATCACTGCGAATCTCGATGATGTTGTTGATAAGAGCGCACATGGCCGCCAGGGGAAAGGCAGAGGAGAAGAGCACCACATAGCCAAACTGAATGAACATCTCCTGGTAGTCCTGAAGCGTGTCCTGCTGGGGACAAACATCATGAATCAGCACTGGCAGTTGTTGTGAATTTGGATATAGATGATTTCTGTATGATATTTATTCAAGATTGTTTGTAAAAAGTCAAATTTGCATTTCTCTGGTTTCATCAGGAGTCCCACCTCATAAGTCTGCATGCAGCTCTCAATCTCGGCCTGGGTCAGAGTGACAGTTTTGGTTTCTTCTGGAGGATCAATCCACGACTTCTTGTCCTCTCTCCCCTCACCTACGTTCTTCCTCCTCTGACAGAGTGGGTAAGATTCCTTCGGAGAGGACACAGTGGCATTCTCCTTGATCTCCTGTTAAAGTAAACATTACACTACAATACTTTCTCTAGTGACTACTAAGACTGCTTCAATTCTGCACCTTTGCAGTGGATGGTTTAACTGAATCTGTTGAGACGGATGAGATGAATCTGTGTAACTTAATTCATAAAACTACAGGAAATACATTCGACTGTATTGGCAAGAGTTGGAATTATCCAAACATAACAAGAGATGTTTGTTACATGTTTAAGAGAGCAGTGATTGTTGGACAGTTTTAGACTAAATGAGTGAGATGAGCATTTTTTCAGTGCAGAGAAAGAACGACAGGACCACAAAGCTGCAGTGTGGGATGATAAATGATAATAATAAGCAGACCACATACTTGAGACAGCAATTCACAGTCACTGTCCTCATCACAGCTGTCAAAAATACTTGATGGATCCATCCCTTCCTCTACCAGTGTAGGACTGTCCTCAAGGAAGCTGTAATCCCCCGCCTGCGCGTCTGTTGTGACGTCCTGGTAGTCAACCTTCTCGGTGAAACTGACTTTACGTTGTTTTAGGACACTGTCATTCATGTCCCATTCTTCTTCTGTGAGCCTGAATCCTGCTTTCAGATCCCCTCTTCTCTTTGGCTCTGGGTTACCGTTAGCAGTGTGACCGACAGGGATCCCTCTGGGACCTAGGAAGGAATAGGCTGTTATGGAGGCTTGGGCCTTGCCCAGAGCCAGGCGGCCATATTTGAGCATGATGGCTTGGAGTAGCTCCCAAATCACCTTTGGGGTGAAGACACCCAGCTTGTTTTGCTCATAGAGATAGGGCTGGAGGACCTCTTTGATGTTCTGTAGGAACTGGCGAAAGATCAGTAGAGTGGCTAGCATCTGTGAAGGGTAGGAGGACATCTGTTACTGAGCTGAACGTACAATGTGCAAAACAGAAAACACATGCACATTTCAATTGTTCAGCAGGCACAAGTGATGTAAATATTAACTCAGTTTATTGCCTGATATGATCCCAGGACATTTACAGCATCTGACACACCTCATGCCATTAAAGCAAGACTATTCAACAAATCAAAAGAAGACTTCAAAAAACCTTCCTCTTACAAATGAAAGGGTGAATTTGTGAGCAATATAAAACATGCTTGCTTAAGTCAGTACACCTAAGGATTTTACCACTACAGTCTTACTTGGTCTGGTATAACCAGCGACTTATGATAGCTAATTTAATGTTTCATTCATTCCTCCGTAACTGATCATTCGCTAAACCCTTCCCCTGAAGAGCAACTGTTCAATCACAGCTCAGCAGCCATAACTAGGCATGGCACCGCTTGTAGGGTCAAGTCAGCCGGAAACATTAAAGTCTGCCAAAGACAACGTTTTAAATCAACAGCTGATAAAATCACACAGTTGTCCCAGCTAACAAAATTGTGGGTCTCCGACTGGAAATAAGAGGCCTGCTTTTTGTTAACTTGAAATCAAAGAACCATTGTTTCAAACAGTACTAAGGGGACGCGGGTTTAGCGAACGGTCAACAACCTTTCACTCAGTGTTTTGTCTGTTTGTTTGTGATTCTGCGAAAAGATGTTGCTACCTCCTTCAGTCGCTCCATGTCCTTGAGGTAGAATCCAATGTAGAAAAGGCTAAGGTAAGAATTGATGAATTCAAACTGTAAAACAACCAGAAAATATAACAGGAAATCAAACACAG